TACAATTTGCTGCTCTGTATTTTTAATTATACTGCTTGACCTTCATAGTTTGTCTAATTTCTGTACTGTTTAGCCACAAAATAAGGCCCTAGATTAAAATACCAACAAAACCTGTTGTCAGTGATAATTCTTTCTCTCTGTGACAAGTTTTGTGCAACTCAGCAAAAAAGAGCCAGGATTTTGAGTTAATAAACCAATTCATCTTTCTGGGGGCATTACTGTGTGTTTTCATGTGTTGCCCTTTATAGCTAGATTCAAAACATTTATAAAATGAAAAGGAATATATAGCCTTCATCTGAGAAGACAAACAAGAACGCTCAAGATATAAATCAAAAACGAGGATCTGTAAAAGAGTACAGCAAGCACTCACGAAGCCAAAACATACTGTTCTTATAAAAAGACTGCTCTAACCACTGCACTTTCTCCAAATATATGTTTATGGAGTCCAAAGCCAGCACTTCTTTAGAGTGTAAGAAGGGAAGCGTTCAGATCCCACTGACCTGATCCTCCTGGGACCTGGGCTGTGCCAGCACTTATGCACAAGGTTCCCTTCATCATCGTGGTTTCTACATCACCACTTATTGCTGCGGATTACTTTGAAGACTTACCTCATGTGGTTGACAACTACTTCAGACTGAATGTGCCAACAAATAAAGGCATGCGTTGACCTCCTGCCCTTCCCTGCTGAGCTGCTGACAGGAGCAGCTTTAGCAGTTTTCCCCTTCCCCCCAGTCCCTCGTTCCCCAGAAAATGGAACAGAGAAGAGATGCTGGGCTCTGTTAGCAGCCAGGTGCATTTGAAGCTATTCAATGCTTTCATCACTGTACTTTCATCAAGTACTGCCCCATCCCATACCTCGCTGACTGTCCCACAGCTGTTGTCCTCCACAGCAAAAGCTCGGGCCTCCTCCAGATCCAGCAGAAAATGGCTCCTTCTCCCCGGGTTTCTATAGTCAACACAAATGCCAGGTCACAGCTTATTGACGGCTGATGGGCTCCCTGCCCAGGCAGGCCCAGCTCTCCCCATGGCAACGCCAAGCCACTGGAGCTGCAATGGTCTCAGATGCAAGCCCGCAGAGCTTCTTGCTCTCACTCCTCCCCATTTTTATGCAACTGAGGCAAAATAATGGCAATTTTTCTCTCTCTTTCAAATGATGATTTTTATTTCAGGCTGGACCTCGAGATGAAATATAATGCTTTGGGTTCCTTAAAACATGGCATGGCCCTTCTTGCTTGCTCTCTCGCATGAACAGTTTCAGAGGTTATTTAACTACCTCTAGGAATGGCACAGGCTTATCTTGTGGCAGCAGAATACACATAGTCTGAAAATGTTAATAGCAGAGATACTCATTTTTCTCATCTCCATAATCAGCAATTCCAGCACCTAGAAATGCAGATGCCTACCTCAGCAGTGCTATCCGTAACAGGAAAGCACCCTTTCTAAAATGTGTTTAAGTGCTTTTAAGCACAAAATGTTCTTTTCTAAGGCAGAGATAGTCCATAAGAAAAAATGTGTAAAATGGAGGAAAATCATCCCCACATACCAGCTGAATAGCATGACCTTCTATGGTCCTGATAAAAATGGTTAGAGTCTATAAACTCCTCACCAGCATACCCAAACCTGCCCCATAAAGCTTGCACACACTTCAGTCAAAGATTGTCACAATCCATTTTCTGATCAGGTTCCATAGCAAAACTTACTCTGATCTGAAGACTTAACTTCCCATGAGGACAATACATCATTGCTAGCCTTCATTCAAAGCCCTGAACAACAGACCACGTCTCCAGTTTTTGTTGTTACCTGTAGAAGGGCTTGAAAAGCCTACTGCATTCTCTTTGTACTTGAGATCCGTAGCAGAACATTTATTAAAAAATTTAAAGGCTTTTTTCTCCCCTTACCCCCTTCAATATTGCCTCATCCTGGAGGCTAAAAGAAATGTTACAGACCTATAACTTCTCAGAAAGGCAAGCAAACGAACCTTCTCTCTCATATCTCTCTCGCCATCTCATTCCCTACCCATACTCCTTGTGTCCTCCTATTCCCTTCTCCACGTCCACATTTCACTATCACCAATCCTGATCCCATTGATGCAGTATCCATCAGGGTCACATTAGCTTTATGTCCATTTCTGTGCAAACTTCTACTCATAGACACAAGGAAAGCTATTTAAGTCTGCTTATTCTTCTTCAGAGTTTTTTAGTGAGCCACTTCAAACATATCAAAACATCAGGATGCTCTATGGGAAGCTATCGTGAAACAGTCAGCTTTTTGATCTGGAGGGCTATACATGCAAAGCTGCATAACTCTTTGATTGTGCTTCCAACCCCTAGCATTCCCTAATGCTAGCATTGTTGATAAATCTTATGAGTAACAGTAACATAAAAAAGAAGAAGTATATAAATAAGAAACAATTCCTCTTTTTCTGCCTCAGTTACAGCGACTGAATCTTCAGTTATTTAGTGAAAAGGGAAAACACTGTTTTTCTTTCAACAGAAGTACTAGCGCGTCACAGAATCATAGAATTACATAATTGTTCAAGTTGGAAGGGACCTTAAAGATCATTCAGTCAACCCACCTGCCAGAGCCATGGGCACCTTCTACTAGACCAGGTTGCCCAGATCCCACCCAGCCTGGTCTTGAGCACTCCCTGGGATAAGGCATCTACCGAATCATAGAGTAGAATCACAAGGTTGGAAACGACCTATAAGATCATCTAGCCCAACCGTCTCCTCCTCACCATTGCCACCACAAGCACTAAACCATATCACACAGCTCCTCATCCAGACGCCTCTTGAACACTGCCAGGGACAGCGACTCCACCACCTTCCTGGGCAGCCATTCCAGTGCCTGACCACTCTCTGAGAGAAAAAGTTATTCCTTATGTCTAATCTAAATCTCCTCTGATACAACTTGCGGCCATTTCCCCGTGTCCTGCTCACTGCCTGGGAGAAGAGGCCAAACCCCTCTTCACCACAGCCTCCCTTCAGGAGGTTGTAGAGTGCAATGAGGTCTCCCCTGAGCCTCCTCTTCTCCAGACTGAACAATCCCAGCTCCCTCAGCTGCTTCTCATAAGGTTTGTGCTCCAGACCCCTCACCAGTTTCGTTGCCCTTCTCTAGACGTGTTCCAAGGCCTCAACATCTTTCCTGTAGTGAGGAGCCCAAAACTGAACACAGTACTCGAGGTGCGGCCTCACCAGTGCTGAGTACAGGGGGATGATCACCTCCCTGCTCCTGCTGGCCATGCTATTTCTAATGCAGGCCAGGATGCCATTGGCCCTCTTGGCCACCTGGGCACACTGTCGGCTCATGTTCAGCCGAGCATCAACCGACACCCCCAGGTCCCTCTCTTCTTCACACTCATCCAGCCACTCATCCACAAGCCTGTAGCGCTGCATGGGGTTGTTGTGCCCAAAGTGCAGGACCCGGCACTCGGCCTTGTTGAACCTCATCCCATTCACCTCAGCCCAGCAGTCCAGCCTGTCTAAATCCCTCTGAAGGGCCTCCCTACCCTCAGGCAGATCAACACCATCTCCCAGCTTGGTGTCATCTGCAAACTTACTGAAGGTGCAATCAATCCCCTCATCTAGGTCATCAATAAAGATATTAAACAAGATGGGCTCAAGTACTGACCCCTGGGGGACACCACTTGAAACAGGTTGCCAGCTGGACTTCACTCCATTCACCACTACCTGCTGGGCTCGGCCCTCTAGCCAGTTTCTTACCCAAAGAAGTGTTTACCTGTTCATACCATGGGCAGCCAGTTTCCCCAGAAGAAGCCTGTGAGGGACCGTGTCAAAGGCTTTGCTGAAGTCTAGGTAGAATACATCAACAGCCCTTCCCTCATCTACCAGACCAGTCATCTAGTCATAGAAGGAGATGAGGTTGGTCAAGCACGACCTGGCTTTCATGAACCCGTGCTGGCTGGGCTGATCCCCTGGACACCACACACATGCTGTGTGATCTCATCCAAGATGATTTGTTCCATTAATTTTCCTGGTACCGAGGTCAGGCTAACAGGCCTATAGTTCCCCGGATCCTCCTTACGGCCCTTCTCTGGGTAGCCTGTTCCAATGCCTCATCACCCTTTGTGTAAATAATTTCCTCCTTATATCTAATTTAACTCTAACTTCTTTTAGGTGAAAGCCCTTACCCATTGTCCTATTGCTATATTCCTCGATAAAGAGTCTTTGTCCCTCTCCAGCTTTCTTTTAGTAGACTCTCTTCTGTACAGAAAGGTTGCATTGAGATCTCTCTAGAGCCTTCTCTTCTCCAGGCTGAAAAACCTCAATTCTCTCAGCCTGTCTTTATAGGAGAGCTGCTCCAGCCCTCTGATCACTCTTGTGGCACTGCTCTGGGTGTGCTTCAACAGCTCCACATCCTTGTTATTATGTTGGGGACCCCAGAGCTGAACACAGTAGTCTAGGTAGGACCTCACAGCAACAGAGCAGGGGGAGACAATTACCTCCCTCCACTTCTTGGCCGTGTTTCTTTTGATGCTGCCATGGTTAAGATCAGCTTTCAGTGCTGCAAGAGTACATTATCAGGTCATGTTGAGCTTCTTGTGAAGAAATGCTCCCAAGTCCTTTTCCTTTCAAGTATGTCAAAGTCCCTATGGATGGCATCCCTTTCCTCCAGCACGTTGTCTGCACTACACAGCCTGGAACTGTCAGCAAACTTTCTGTGAGTGCATCCAATCCCACTGACCACATCACCAATAACGATGTTAAAAAGCACCTGTCCCATTAACTGATCCTTGAGGAATGCCACTGGTCTACATCTGGACATAAAACTGTTGATTACGACTCTGAGTATGATCATTCAGCCAATTCCCTATCAGCTGGGTGATCCATCTGTCAAATCCACGTCTTTCCAATTTAGAGACAAGGATGGTTTATGTCACAGAATCTTCAAAGAATCTTCCTGATGGAGATGGTGAAGAGCAGGACATCAAAGATTGCATGTTATTTTAAGCCTAGAAGGGTATGGGCTTATTTGACAAGTTAATTAGTAAGCATTTAATTAATCTGTTGAAACATTTCATTACAATTCAGTGTACTGGAATTATAGCTATGCTACATGAAAGTTAATAGAGGTGAACAAACTGACCTACCAGTTATTAGACAGTTCAGAATGAGAAATGCTATATTTATTTTATTTTTAAAAGCTACTCTGTGAAATTCAGTATTTACTAGCTGTCAGACAGCTTCAAAAACTTTATTTTTAGAATTATTGTTCCCACACAATGTCATCTTTTTTCAGTGTTGACTGAAGCTTCTGTACACTTTTTAGCAGCTGAAGGGAGCTTCTGCTTTTCTGCCCAGCATGAGATTTGGACATACTTTCCCTTACAGTGCCTGCAATCTCCTTTGCCTCCTTTTGGTTATCACATTTTGGTCTGACATGAGCTGCCTCTTTCTTCAATTTCTGAGTCTTTCGCTTTAATTTCTGCACCTACAAAGAAAGATTACTAATTAGAACATTACTCACTTTGCTACTGCTTACCAAATTTCTACCAAATTCCAAACTAAAGACATCCAAAGGACTTTTAAAAATCATTAAAGCCTACTAATCTTGCATATAGTTGTCTTAGTGAAACTAAAAGTATTACAGAAAACATTATAGAAAACTGACCTCATCCACACTCAAAAGACTGCTGAACCCTGTTACTCTGTGAAGTAAAAATGCTTGCTTAAAAGAGCCTGAACATCATCTGTAACCAATTTATATTTACAATGGTCTTCTCCCATTTCAGATTGTACCAGTGTAACAACAGCAAAGAAGCTATAAAACCTGTACAGCTTATTATGAATCACCATATCTGACAGCTTACTTTGAAGCCTCACAACAAAGTCAAGAAACTAAATAAGTATGGTTGATTGCTATAGAATATTTTTTAGATGTCAAATATAAAGCCTTGACTTGCATTTGGCATGAAAATATCCTTAAGATAAAATTAAGCTGGAAACATTCCATACACCAATTTGGGTTATTTATCCATTTCTGAAAAAATTAATTTTAATTGCATTCTAAAGTATATTATTAAGTGGGAAACACAGAGATGACTGCAGTATTTTTAACATGACAGGTTCTAAATGCAGAAATATGTACCAGAAATATTAAGATTGATCTGCGTGAAATTCAAATAAATAGGTCTGTCCATGAAAACAACAACAACAACAAAAAAAGGCCAAAAAAAACAACAGATACCAGATGTTACAGGAGTGGCCTGTATTGATAACCAAGGTATGATGGACGGTAATCAAACAGACAAGCATGAAGAATATGCTATTTACATAATGAATGTAAGGCATGTGCTCTGATAAGGCTGTGCCACAGCACAGACAACTTGCCAGCAAAAGATCTACACTCTCAAACACTCAAGAAGGACAACAGGGTTGCACCACAACAAATGTGCCATTCTTCTTCCCATCATTCCCAAATGAGGCAGATTGTAGCCATAAAGATATGCAAAATGAAAAAGTAAAGGTGCTGTTGTCCATTTTCTGAGGATCATGTTACCAAGATTCTAAGGCAAAGAGTAACACCAACTGCTGGCTTCTCAAGAATGTTAGATATTAACCCATACATCAGTAGACATTGCCAAGAGAGTCAGCAATGACTCAGCAGTCCACTTTTCTCAAATGCAACCCCAACAAGACTTTGATATAAGTGTTTTTGTAAGTATATGGGATAATGAAAAGTTTAACTGAGTAAAATCTATCAAAGAATGAATGAAGTTGGTTGCATTTAAATTAAATATCACTTTCCCCTTCCACAAGGTCTCACACTGAGTTCTCTTTTGTTTCCTGCAAAAGTAAAGCTCTTACGGGAGCCTATTTATCCTACAAAATAAGATGAAAGAACAGAAAAATATCTGACAGAATTATAGGTTGCATTTTTTATTTTGTTCCAAAGCAAATTGCTACAAGCAGGCTGAGCAGCTCATCTACAGAAGTGTGATTTTCTATGGACATGTAGTTGTTTTTTATGTCTACAAAAAATACTGACAGAATGTGTGTAGATTAAGGATTAAAAAAAAAAATCTAAAAGGCTTGTCTGGCTATGATTTTTGAGAGAAGTTGCAGTCAGTAAAACTATTTGGTTAATAACAAACTTCAATCTTTCAGTAAAATACAAGACATTCAAGCCTGTCTGTACAGGAAATATAGCTTCTATTTTCTCATTCTCCAGATAGAAAGGGCACAAAGGAATGAAATCTCAACAGCCCATCTTAATACAGGGAGTTAAAGTGACAGACTGAGCAACTCTGCTCTATACTGAAGAACTGCCACAGGAGAGGAAGTTTTCTCACTGGTCTACATATCTACCTGCCAATTCTAAGCACCATTTTATGATTTAAAGGAGGAATTGCAGGTACAAGAACACTGAGTTAGCAACCTAATGTTAATCACCTATACTGAAACAACCTAGCTTAAGCATTCCAGTGGCATTCTAGTTACTGACAACAAAAGGTAGAGCCATTTAACAAGAGTGTTGCTAGCTGGACAGTTTACATTTTTTTCTTACGCTTTTCTCATGTTTTTTCAACTTGGATATTTGTTCTCCTTTACTGTTCATTTGTTTTACAAGGTTATTCAGCCTCTGTTGTAGATCTTCACGAATTTTGGAGTCCTGAGTCTCCTGGATCTCCTTCAGAAGTACTTGATGTTCACTGTTAAAAACAAAAATGGCACAGTTAACTATTCATGATATAGCCTCTAGGATTTCCTCCAATAGTTTCAATGTATTGCACGAATTGCCAGCTGTTCTGTCTAGAGTACAGCAATTTAGCATTATTTACTCCCTTACACAATACACATTCATCTGGAATATATTCACTCTAGAAAAGAGGGTGTTTGTTTTTTTTTTCCCCCCAGGGGCTCTGATTCTCATTTCAGATTTGTAGCTGACGAGAGTTTGGAAAGTAAACAGAGGACAACAGCAGCTATGAAGTTCTTGCCCAACTTAGTGCAGACTTTGAAAGCTTACTGTAATACAGAAAAGTGTTTTTTAAATTAGTAATTCAAGTTAGTTTTCCTTCCAGACTATTCAAATTGAAATATTCTCCTCAAAAAGATCAGCAGCAAATTGTATTATTTAATTACATTAATCAGGTTAATTAAAATGAATGCTTTAGACTCGCTTGATACACGGACATTTGAACAAACTGAAAGCATAGGCTCTGTTAGGTAATCTTTTTCCACAGCTCAAAGCTTTTTTTCTAACTTCTGACTAACTGTTGGTTCTTGACACTTTAACAGGGACAACTGGTTGCTGATGCAAAGAAAAATATTCCTGTCCTTGAACTGCTATGATTAAACCAACCATTATTTTTTGAAGAAGAGATTGGTTGCCAGTTTAAATGTTGCCACATCAAATGTTTCAAACCAGTGTCAACATTCAAACTGGTTTAATCAACACGTCCTCCCCTGTTCAAACCTCAGCTCATCATGTTGACGTCTATACGACCAGCTTCATAGCTTTAGCTCACAATTCTACAAACTTGTGTTAAAATAAAGATGCCTAAAAACACAACTTTTCTTTCACATTTATTTGTATGGCAAGAAAGATACATACAGTCCCATTTAGAGCATTGGCTTTTCCCACATTCTGCTCATTTTCTGGCAGGAAAGTATGTTTCAACCTTCTTAAAGTATTGCACATGAGAACATTCTTGGTATATTTTATAGATCTTGTAGTATATTTCAAATTTCTAAAAATCCCAGGCCTGGAAGATTCTTTTATTTGCTGTGTTTCTTACTTCAGTAGCAGATAAGCGCAGGAAAACAAACTCAGCTAAAGAGTATTTTGCTCACTTACAAGATCAGTTAAACATCAGGACAAAAAGAAGTTTTTGAATGAGAAAAATCCTACCAGCTAGGCTTGCTCACGAAATTCTCACATGTAGTCCTACATTTGGTAGGTTTGAGTATAGTACACCCACAGCTTCACAGGGCTATTGCTGAAGTCGTTTTTACTCGTAATACAGAGGATGACTACTCACAAGCTCATTTGGCTCAGCTCATCTTGTATTCCCAACATAAAGTCAGAAAGTCTTCTGGTGACAGCAGATGATGAGGATACAGATTTTGAAAGAGTTGTTTGTCCTGAAATTCCAGATCTATTTTGGATTTGTCTTTGTGATGTGATACGTGGATTGCGATGCTTCATAATATGCAACACATTTTGCACATTTGCACTAAGAGAATGGCTGGAGCTGACAGACTTAAAGAAGAACAAGTAAGTTGTCTACAAACATGACTAACAATTACAGCAAAGAAACTGAAATGGTAGATGCCAATTTAGTGAGAATTTTTGGTTTCACTCACCTTCCCAACCACAAAAGGTAGCACACCTGCCTGTACATGAAATTGTGGGAGATGAATTTCCTTCATCATAGGATTTTTCTGCCATAAAACAGAAAAAGAAAGAAAAATTTCAGTGTGCTGAACCAACAGTGCGATATTTTTTTGTTTTGTAGAATAACAAAAATTCAAATAAAGAAGCTGTGAAACGCATCAGCTCAGCTTCCCTCATGTTTTTTTAAAAACATTTCCCTACTGTACATAGAAGGAATAGGATTTTCAAACAATAACAGCTGAGATAAATTATCTTCCAGATTCACTTAGTAGATACGTTGGCAATTAGACAGACATTTTAAAAAATTGAGCTTTGCTTACTTAAGCAAAACTAGAGTTGCAAAATTTTGGTTGACCTGTAACATTTGTTGCAAAATTCTCTTGATTTCAACAATCCCTCTAAAACGTGCCATCTTAGGATGGCCTACTTTAAAATTACTTTGGAAGCTAATTTTGCCAGATAAACTGAAAAGCAGATAAGGCAGAACATAGGGGAGGAAAACTGTAACAAAGGTTGTTGTCATGGTAGTACAGGAACATTTTCCAATGAGGTGCTGCCAGCTCTGTCCCAGTTTTAGTTACCAAAAGCAAAAAAAATTAAAAAGAAAAAATGGAGGTATTGGGCACTGTTACTCACTTTGGAAACTGAACAAAGTGCAGCAGACAAATCAAGTGGCTCTTACATTACCATTTTTCACAAATTCCAATCTCTGTGCGAGTCAGATGCTATCAGCGAAACTGTGATAATGAAAAACTTCATGTTACCTTCTTAGGGCTTTTTTTTTTCTTGCTTCTCTTTTTAAGTTCACTTTCAGATGAATCCAAAGGCATCAAAATTCGGTTTATCTCAAATTCTGTCTGAAGCTGTGTGCATAAACAAAAAGAAAGCAACTATTTAATACAACATTAGAAGTCTGAAATCACACAGTCTAATTAATTCTTTCACACATGAATGAGAGCCATTTAAGGGCACTATTAACTATTCTGCTTGGAAAGCATAACCTATGCTTAAAAACTGAACAGGTTACTGGGATGGTATGGCATCAGACATAACTGTCTAACAAGTTTCCATTTTCACATCCAGCTGCAGTAAGTGTGCTTTTCCACTATAACGCCCAGTAACTGAAATAAAACAATCCTGCTGCTTGCTAAAGGTCTGATCATAAAATCCAAAGAATGTGAACACTGGGATCTTACAGCCTGGAGACAAAAAGAGCTGAATCCATCTGTGTATCATAGACGTCAAGCCTACTGGACAATCCACACGTTACTCTGAAGTTCAAAGTTGATATAAAGGCCCATGATAAACAGGATAATAGCCATTCCCAAACCAAAAGGACAATAAATTTGTTTTGGCATGCGCAGCACTTCCGGCTAAACAATGCTGGAAGTTCATCACTGCACTGAGATTACTCTAATTTTTCTGTCATCAAAAGGAAGCTGAATCAGCTGTGCCACACCCTGTGTTTCCAAACTCAGATCCAACAGACCTAAACCGATCTACAGTGAATCAAGGTGGGACAAATAGTAAAGACCCAATTCATTGTGCTAACCTCCCTTCTTGAGCAAATGTTTATACTACTGCTAAGGTCAGATTATTTGTTCTGGGAGTTATTCTTAATGTTACTCAGAACATAAAGTCTTCATAGCTGGCTTTCTGCTCTTCAGCAGAAGCAGCAGTTTAAGAAAGAACCCCCCCCCAGTATTGCAGGTTTTCAACTGTGCCATTCTGCTGTATTGTGGAGGTAATCAAATATCTGGGCCACCTACTGCAAGGTTCCTGGACTGATGAAAGCAAACTGACCTTAAAAGAGATATAAAATTACCTCCGATTATTTATTAATTTAAGCTTTCAGCTTCACTTACGGATGCACTGTTCCAAGATTCATCATCAGCTCTGCACCCCCCACTCTGGGGAATGTCACCACAAACAACTCTTTCAAAATGGTTGCTACCTCTCGACGAAGGTTTAGAATACTTGAATCTAATTTGCTCCTTTGTTTCTTTGATTTTGCTCACTTTGAGAAATATTCCTCTCTGAAATGGGTGATGGCCCAACAAACTGACTGTGATTTCACAGAGCAACTAATTATACAAACTCTCTATTAATAAGCAATGTATAACCATTAAAGAGTCTTCCAACATTACATTCATTACATTAAATTTCAGCAAATCTTAACAAAAAGGAATACAAAGAGACCAACCACCTTACTTGAGGTATGAGGGTACTTATATGACTATTTTTAGTTACCTTAAAATGAGATTATCTGATTCAGTTGCAGTTTCTCTAGAAATTAATACTCTACCTAGATCCCCGATTGCAGCCTTAAGGCTGATGAATTCTCATTAACACAAAACCAAGCAGAATCTTTCCTGATCAAGAAACACAACACATTAAATTTTCCCTCATGTAATTTATGACTAATCTAGTTAGTACTCCAGGAGTTTTCCACGAGTCAGTACTCTAGGATTTAAACATATAGAATTTAAATGTTATTAAAAAGGTATCTTGGACAGAGAGAATAGCTTCCTTCAGTAACAAAAAATGAGATCAAATAAAACTGTTTCAGTCTACCTGAGCAGCTTTGTCTTGTATTAGCTTGTACTGACGCTCTTCTTTACAAAGCTTTTCTTCTAAATGTTTGATTTTGTCCTGAATTTGAAAGCAAGAAAGCTTAGTCACACTTCAGTTTGTCACACTGAATTCAGAAACCTATAGTTGTTTGTAATTGTAATCTGGGATAAAATAGGAACTGATGGAATTTTTAAGGCCCAGAATGGAAAAAAAAAAAACAAACTGAAATAATTTATGAAAAAGAAGCAAAGGAAGCCAAGCATTCACGCAGGTGTATTTGATGATCTCAGGTTTAGCAGAGAAAACTTTTGCAAAAGTTTGCACTATTAACAGTATACCACATAACTCATATCAAATGAATGACTTTCAGACTAATTCCATGTTTGCTTACCTCTACAACTCTCTGAGTAGCAGTAAGTTTAAGACATTCTTTTTCTAGCACTTCAAGTTTCTCAAGTTTTGCATGCAGTTCCATCTGGTTCTGATTTTTCTCTTTCTGAGGATGGGTCAGAAAACATAAGCCAGAGTAAAGCTGGCAACTGACTAAAATTATTTCAGACTGAAAAAAAACAAAACAAAACAAAACAAAACAAAACAAAAACAAAAAAAAAAAAAAACAAAACAAAGAAACCCCCATACACTACAGTAAAGGTGTTTAAATAATTTAAATTTTGTATTTTTAAAATTGCAAAGTGATGAAAAATACCAGGCAGACAAAGAAGACTTACATTTCCAGCAGTCTTTTTGTCTATCAAATGTGCAAGTATTAGCATGGTTTTACTCATTTAGAGTGACATCTAGGGAGTCTTTTCTTACAATGCATTGAATGGTTGTCAACAACCAGCTGGACAGAAAATTGCTTCCGTTTGCTATCTGTCACACTACACAGAGCTGAGGAAAAATGAGGAATACATTTTTATATTTTTAACTACTTTACTACTTTGTTAGTATGTTAAAGAGCTTCACCTGTTGTTCTAAAATCATTTTGTTTTCCAGTACTGCACTCTCAACCATTTTCCTCATGTAATCCAGCTGTTTCTCCAGCAGGGAGCAGCGGGATTGTGCTGCATTTAACTGCACACTTACATCTACAAAGAGAAGCAAAGATGCTCAGTACAGCAATGGGAGTTATAAATTTAACTAGTTTGTCATCTCTCTGAGGAATTCTCTATCTTCAAAAGAGACAAGAATAGTTTTGTTAGTCTGAACAAGTCATGTGGTTAAATGTATATTGTATATGACAAGAGAATCAAGATGCTTTTCCAGAGACAGACTCTAATATGAATTCCAAAGGTGTGAGCTCTGCTGTTACGTTGATTTATATCAGCAGAATCTAGTTTATTCCCTTCTACTTACTTTTCTCAAGTTAGCAGTGTTATACAAGTAAGCAGATGCTAACTTATTGTAGCAGTTAAACACACCACCTGAAATCTGTTTACCTTTAAAATAGTCTTATGAGTTATACAATATCTGGTTAAGATGCGTAAAAAAAAAAAAAAAAAAAAAAAATCTAAACTTTATCCACAATTATCAGACTTCTGCCTTCCACACTTCTGAAGAAAAAAAAAAAAAAAAAAAAAAAGGAGGTTGCATTAAATTAATTAGCTGTTTGTCAAAACAAACACTCCCTGGATTATGCAGTCTTTGAGTTGGTGTGGCTACACCTTATCACTCAGAGAAATACCTTTCCTCTGTTGCATCAGCTTGTGATGTGCTGTGTCATTTTTGAAGGACTCATGGTCTAAGGCCTTCTTATACTGAGCAGCTGCTACAGAAAGGCTGCACAGATTCTCCTCAGCATGTGACCTCTTCAGCTCTAGATAGTGGATCTTTTCTTGTAGAGTTCTCAGGGCTGCCTCCACAGTTAGAAAATAAAGCATCAGTTACACTCAGCTCTCGTAACACAGTTCCTCATACTATTTTTATAAAACGCTTCAAATGGAAAACTACTACCTAGCTTTTCCTTCTAGGATCAGATCTAAAAGCAATGACATTCTCCAACCATACAATTACACACTCAGAATGTACGTAGGAGAAAGTAAATGTGTTTACTGCATAGGTGGAGAATAAAGAACAGAACAGCAAAGCTATTAAGCTATTTTCAGTCAAAATGTTGGCAAGCATGAAGAAATCATGCCAAATCAAGTACAGCAAAACGTGGTACTCAGACCTGTTAGTATCTGTCTACAGAAGAGCAGGGAAGACAGGTATTTAAGTTAGGTATCCAAGTTTTTGGAGCAATGCATCTGGTGTGGACAGATTAAAAAAAGAAAAAAAAAAAGATTCCAGGCAGGGGGAAAAATCAGATACAACAGGACATTTTAACAGAAGATGCATTTTAAAAACATTATTGTTTCAAAAGTGAATGATTTGTCTGTCTCATTTCTTGCATTTAACGTTAAAAAGAAAATAATAATAATAATCAGAGATTTTTCTTTTAGCCTCAAATCAATTCCAGAGTTAAAATTCTGAAAATAACTTAGAGCTTCTTACTAGCTCTCCAAGAAGCTGTAAGTTTAAGACACATTCCCAAACAAGTTCAGCTTCTTGTTGGACATTTCATAAGCCTTGATATTTTCATTATACCAACTCTCTTGATAGAGGAATACCTAGCAAATATTGGATAGCTCCATAAAAATAGCTCCATAAAAACTCCAAGCAGCTTTACTTAGCCTAATTAAGATAAGTAAATAAATAACAGGTCCCAGAGAGCAGAAGGGGCCACTTCTTACATCTTTCTGTTAGGATACCAAACATTTCCTCATTTAAACATTTAACTGCACAATATTGAGCTGAACGTCTTAATCCAAATAGTCCAAACTCTATATGACATTATGTAAATTCTGTAATAAACTATTCTTCATATGGAGAAGCCACAAAATAAAGAACAATGATGACATATACACTGATTATGTCTATACAGTATTGCAAAGTTTTATATTAAATAAAATCCAAGTATGGTAAACTTGTGATTTGCTTAGTAATCTGGACAACTTAAACCACCAAGCATTTGTCCTGTGAGCTCCAGAGAGTAATCACTGATTAAGACACAAAATAATCATCGTGGATTCATGTTTCACATAGATAAATATGCTGATAACTTACCTGAATAAGTTATCTTACTGTTTTATTCGCAAGTTCTCCCAATACATCACATGACACAAAAAAGCTTAGAAGTGATTTAAAGCTAGAAAGAGTTGAATAACACAGGACAAAGCCAGTTTCAAGTCAGTGTACTGTCATGTCTTTTTTTTTTTCTTTTTTTTTTTTTTTTTTTTGCCGGATTTAAAGCATGAACAGCTTCTGTTGAGTTTGAAGTCTTCTCCTTTGCTTTTAGAGGAAGTCTGACGATCTTTAAGTTAAACAATTTTCAAAGCCAAAGTTTATAAGGATGTCAGAAGGCTTGCAGCAGTTTCCATTCCAGATGTACGACTTCAAGGAGACTACTCCCTCTGGACACATATACATCCTGTCTTACTGACTGATAATTGCAGCAAGTCATTGAACTGGGTGAAACAAAATGGAGACTTTGCTCACAAGATTTCACAAGAAACAATTTAAAAGACCACTTTTTGGCTTACCTTGGTTATAGCAGATAGAAGGCCCACCGTCACCAGCAACTGCCAACTTCTTTGGTTCTCCACAAACAAAGGGTGCAGGAATCATTTTAGCTGGAGGCTGAAGAAAGCTTCCTATTAAGCTGTCCTTTGATTCAGAATCCATAGCCTGCCAAAAGAGAGCTTTATAGTGACTTTAGCTTTTTAATGAACTATGTAACAGTTTTCAAGGCACCTCACTGAGCAGTCCCTGGCTGTATTTATATTAAGCCAGATCACTTGCATAAAATAATAATTTAAAAAGCCACATATACCCAGAGGTATTGTGTATGTTAATGCAATTCCAAAATAATGTCTTCAGTAACACTAAACACAACTGTCCTCAAACAGCCAAAATTTTCTACGATTTTTCCTCTGTGTTTTCTAAACTTAATAGTGACCTTCTAAAAGCCAAAGATTAAAACATTTTTGTAGCATCTATTTTACAGAAGTTAGCATATGCCTCTCAGTGGTCTCTGCAGAGCAAGCATTGCAAGTTTTACAGTCTGTTTGTACAGGCTCCTTATTGTTCCGGTACATTGTAATAGTGTCAGAGTTCGTTGTTTTTGTTTAACATACGGCTTTATTATGTAATAAAGACATGGCTTTTGACATAGTGTTGAAATAACAAAAGGATAGTTAACATGTAACCTCATGATTGCTATGAGCATTCTCACCATTATTAAACTTACGTATTAATTCTCTTTCCTCTCTACCCTTTCACATTCTTTATTTTATCAGAAGCACATTTGAAGCCTCTTCATGCTTAGTCGAACAGTGGCTTTCCTTGATACTCAAGACATGACCAAGGAAACTTGCACAAAGTGCCTTGGTATAGTATAAGCTCTAGGAAAGCAGACCCTTTGAGATCAGTCCATCTATATTCTATGACAAGTCATTCAAGCCTCATTTTGTTGTTTACATTGGGAATGCTATGACAACCAAGCATGGGCTATAGGTCATACAAAGAAAGGCCATAGGTCATGTTAGGAGAAATGGTGGAAAACAAACTAGTTTTAAAGATATCTTTAGTATGTTTGGACTTACTGGTACTTTAAAAATTAGCTTTTCTTTTGTACTCTTTGCTCTTCTACTCATCTACTAATTCTACTTAGGAACAGCAGAGACCAATTCCAATGTTGCACAAATGCTTTCACTGAAGTACAAACTTCATTGCCCTTTATTAAAGGTCCTACCAATTCACACATTTCAAGTAGAAGGAGTCATTCACTTCTGAAAGCTCTTACCAGGTCTTGCAAGTAGTTGGAAGTGTAAACACAATGCCAAGAGAAGGAAGTTACAGCACCTTTTAAGCACATCATGGCTACCTACCAAATTAGGCACCAAACCAAGCACCTCATTTGATAAATCTAAAATTTTTAAAAAATGAAGGTTGTGTACAGCTTCAGTTGCTGGAAGAGCAGCTTATGTGAAGGTTCAGTGATAAAACTATGGTACTGCTCAAGTTTAAAACATAGCAAATTCTTCTGACAGAGCAACAGTGGTGCTATCGGCCCCCCCATGACGTGCTTCTTTGTGAGAGCTCCAAAGAGAGAGCTTGCTCCTCGTGCACAGATATTCATAGGTGCTGATTTCCCAAAAGTGACAAAAAGAAGGTATTTATTAACAGCAGAAATCCTAACAAAAACCATATGACAGATATGACCATAAGATATGACAAAGCACACCCTAGGCAAATTCATTCCTACTGGATAGGGAAGAAAGTTTTCAGTGAAGAAACAGTTTTCCACTAACAGCTCTTTCAGTACTGCTTCAGAATACATACAAAATAGAAAAAAAAATCACATCCATCTACACCACCTCTTCAAGACGTGCAAGAGGTACATGGAAACACTTTCCTTCTTCCCCAGGCTGTCATCACAGATGCATTAATATCAGCATCTCTTTGCCAGGGCTTGCTTGACTTCATGCCTCCCAGACTCTGCTGCTTTTGCATGTTAGCACCCCTGAGGCAGATCCTGCATTTCAGGGTGGTCCACCCAGCACCAGCACAGCCCCCCTTATCCACCCTACCAGTGACCCATGTACCACTGGCCTTTTCCAGAAAGTTCCCTGGGTGGCTCACAACTGTCTTGTGCTGGCTGCCCGCAGCAAGACCATGCAGCTGGCTCTTGGGGCTTGGTGGCTGACTCATGGGGGCATGCTGCCCTCATAGGCAAGAGGTCCCACCTGGTGGCCACAGGTAAAACCAGCTTGGCATGGTGTGGGGTACCAGCATGATTTTTCACAAAGTACCTATAATGGCACAGAGTACAAAATAAGCAACACTTACCCTTCCATTGCTTCTCAATTCCTACACACTGGTGATGAAAAAGAGTAACAAAAATGGTCCATAAAAATGTGCATGTACACACACACAACAAACTGCCTGCTGTTGCTGCTAACAGTGGAACGCAAACTGGAAACAGAGCATAAGATGACCACTTTTGTCTTTACCATCTGACCCTTCAGCAGTCAGCACAACTGAAAGCTTGCTTCTTCATGAGTCGCCATCCTTCCCTGGAAGGAACCATGCTTTCTTGCAAGTCTGCAGCTGCTACAAATCAATTAGTTTCCTTATTGCCTTCCCATAAACAACTTCTGCTGTTTCCAAGGAGATGGGTATGCAGGCGGTTGTAGGAAGGGCAGTGATCCAAAACAAAACAAATAAGAGAAGGAGGGAATAAAACACCAGAAAATTTGAGAAATTCTATCGAGCCCAGTAACACAAAGGTGGGGGGACCTATTTGGGAAAAGGGGAAGAGAACAATACCTTTTCGTTTGGCAGGTGAAGAAGGAGGAAAGTGAAAGGGACGAGGCCAGCTCAGCAGCCAAGTGATAGCGACCTAGCCAATCCTGTATGGGCTTCAGCATGCACATCCACCATTTCACCAGCACAGCAGAGAGTAATGTGCACCTTAGGGCAGCACTGGCTGCGAGAGCTCCCCAGGCCACTTCTAAGAGCAGGGACTTGGCAATGGCTGTGAAGGAAGGTAACACTGCACAACTGAGACAGTGATGTTTGCAGAACCCCTGCTGTGGACATAGTTATGGATTACCACAACTTCTCAGACGCAGAGGATACAATAGTTTGAGGGAATGGTTGCTATAGCGTCTGGAGGCTCTGCAACACAACTGCTTCAGAAGAGGTGCTCTAGTGTAGACAAGCCTTTCAATATCTTAGGAGGTAGATGTAGATTATAATACCCATTCTACTCAGGTGCAATATCTACAATGCTTCAGGCCCCAGATGAGGACATAGATCAAGAAAAGGACCAAGTCATTTACACCAGTGAGACAGCAAACAGAATGAATGTTTTCAGCCCACTAGAACAAGAAGCTTATGAGAAAATAATAAAGTACCCAAAATATGTTTGGATGTCAGCTGTCAGCTTGCAGGCAGCAGTGAGCTTGCATAAAGGTTGTTGGAGGGTGATCATGCCCTTATTCCCTTCAACTTTCATACCCCAGAAGAGGGCAAACAAGTTGGACTTTGTTACAGATGACTATTTTCTCACGGTCATCCAAGCACTAATGTGATTTATCGTTACACTATCTATATTTATTTTTGCTGAATATGGCCTGCATTGAATCCCAGAGTACTGGATTAGGCTGCTGTATAAATAATTGGAATTTTAGTTACTGCTATCTTGCCCAAGTATGTGAACAGAAGGGATTTACTGAGTAAATCCCAAATGTTACAGAAAGACCAGTTATGATTTCCTTACTCTTCTTCTCCCCTCCTCTCCATTCCACCCTTCAACTTTTGGCATTAAATTATTTTCTAAAAAATTTCTACTGAAGTCCAAAAATGTTTTGCCACATATACAATTATGCCACATGCCACAGGGCAGAGCAGCGCATGAAAAAGCATGTTAGGATTGAATTGTAATAACAGGCCCAAAAAATAATGCTGACCTAACATTTTCCCAAAAGATATACACTGCAGGAATAATGTGACAATGTAGGGGATGCCACTAAGATCTCCAGCACTTGTTATCTCAGAGAGGTCCTGGGTTATTCGATTGCCACAAGAGTAATTTTTTAGAACTAAGGAAAAGAGATGCTGTCAGAACAGATTCAAAGATGGCAAAAAAATGGAACAAATGTGGAAAGAAATACAAAGATAACTACATTTTGACCTGACCTTCTGACGTGCACAATTCATGATGTTTTTTCCTTAATGGAAAACAAAGGCTTAGATGAACTAAGGAACGATTCTCTGTTTACCTGACACATTCTAAGAGAAATGCTAAAAAACTGCCCTAAAACAGGCTATACCAAGAAAATCCCCAAATGCTGGCTGCTGCCTTGTCTATTTGAGCCAAGTATTGTTGGCAAAAGGTTATGTTAGAGGCCATTGTAATGACACAATTCAAATTAGTGTATTTTTTTCTCCTTTTGCTTTCCTTCAAGAACCAGGAAAAAAAACTCTATCAGCTGTACTGGCTGTGTCGCAATGCTCTTTCAGCCTCATTCCTGACAGACAAAGAACAGCTTTTCCACTGACCAAAATAAATAAATAAAGTTGCAGGCAAACTGCATTGTTGTTTTGGGAACACCCAGTGTCTAGCATCCTGACACAGCCACTTTAATCAGTTCGAAACACATGACCTTGTTCGGGCCGTATCTAAGGAACTGGTACTCCTGTGCCTGCTTTGATCTAAACAAGCTAGAAACGCTATGGTGACAGCTGCAAAACTAATAGGAAGGGAAAAGCTAACTGAATCGATAAAGCATTTCAACCTGTCTTTAACTTCACTCAAGCCTCACTTAAAATGAGTTCAGAATCAGCAACTAAAATCTGTTAGAAGAGTTAAGAAACTTGTTGGCAACGTGTGATTTTTTTTTGAAAAGTTGACTCAGGTAAATCCATGGGAGCTGTTGTATTCCTGTTTGTGAGATAGAAAGGAAAGTCTAAGAACTTGATATATAAAGGCCTAGTGCCTACTTTCTTCTTTGAGACTTCTAGTCTCAACCTATCCATTCCCGAACTTCAAGTCTCGTGTAGAACTTTCATACAGTATCTTTTCTTGGTCTTACAAGAAAAGAAATTACACCGTGTTTTCTCATGACATGTACTGTAAAGCATGGTAAAACCTAGTACTTTAATGAACAAAATTCCATCGAGTCAGTCCTGTAAACATCCATACTGCTATTTCTCTAGTTCTTGTTTGTTCAAGATAAAAGAGAACAAAAAAGAGGAATAAAGAAAATGTACTTTGAGCCAATAAGTAAATAAATAACATGGTGAGGAAAAAAACAGAGCTTTTTTGAAACATTTTCTTTTTTTAAGGCAAAGGTTCTAACCTGAGAGTATGTGAAACAATCGTGTCATAATGTCGTAATGAGCTTTCCTGTTTTCTTCAGTCAGCACAGGAGACCCAAATCCTCATTAAAATGGGCCTTTGGTCATAAGTACATGATGAAATCATACCTTTGTGGGGAAGTTGAGCTAGTGTGAACTGCTTTAATCTGTACGTGCAGATGATAACTGAACTTAACGTTCAGAGGAACAAGACTGCAAGTTCCTATCAAGTAACAGCTGATATGTTAGCATGAAAACATCTGGCCTGGAACAGAGTGTTATCAAAGCAATTACATTTCCATGCCTTTAATCACTCCAAAGTAATTAAATACAATCATTCTGTAGTAAACTTCAAACGCAAAAGTGAATATTATCAATGGTCACTAGTACACTTCCTCAATTCCCTAGTAATTCAGTTTCTCTTATCTTTTCCTTTCATCCACCCCCATGCTACAGTTGCTTTTTCTCCCTCATTGCCCCTCTTTCCTTGTATTTATACCATCTTATACCTTTGTTCCTTGCTATTCTCCCTTTGGACTTCTTATTCTCTCACCCCCTTTTCTAGCCTTAAACTCTGGCTTGTTTTAGAAAGTTAAAAAGAAGTTTTCTTCCACATATGAATAACTGTTTAGTTTCTTCCTTTCATACTTAGGATCCATTTCCAACAGATAGTATTTGCTTTTAGTATACTTGACTGATGAAGAAATTGATTGTGCTCTCCTCAAAAGTGTCCATGACAGATGCAAAAACCTATTTTTTCTATCCACTATTATTTTCTGCTGCTGATGCCACATACTGTTTTCCATATATAGTTTGCTAAGATTGGTCACTTCACTTTACCCTGCCAAAATCCACTTTTTTACTCATTAGATTGAAAGCAGCTCTTCAGAGAACAAAAGAAGACAGGAGGAAATTACAGACACTGTGTATTTACCCTTGATTCAAAAGAGGAAGACTTGGCTGCTAGGCAAGAGGAAGGTTTTCAAGGGAAACTGTTTCCAGTATAGAAATCTATGTATCTGTGTAGAGGCAGAATTATTAGAGATTAGAAAGGCAAGTGCAAAAAAAAAAAACAACAAAAAAAAAAGAGACAGGGTAGGGTGGGGTAAATGTTTATGTGGGTGGAAATGACAATTATAATGAAGAAATATAATAAGGCAGGGGATAGCTGCCCTTGATACTGACTCATTCACAGAAAACACCTTTCACTGTGTGATAATTTTCATCTTTTACATCTCAAACATTTGATGGGATCATTGAAAGATGCTTCTGAATGTTGCAACTTGCCCTCTAGGCAGATAAAACAGACTGATTGTGTCCCCACCATTTTTTTACCAATATGTTTTTTTTAGGAAAATATCTTCATCCACCTATCCTTCAGCCTAGTATGGAGAAGAGGTAAGAGGTAGATTTTTGGCCAGAACATCATGGCAGGGATGAGCTGAGAAACACAAAGAGAGTTATTGTTCATAGGATTTGTCTCCTTTTACATACTGCCACCCCTACTTTTTTCATACACTTCTGTGCTGCTGATAGCTGGGGACCTGGCAGGGAACAAGAATTCTATTCTCCATTTGTACAGCAGGCAACCTAAGAATGAAAAGAAAAAAAAAAAAAAAGAAAGAAAGATATTAATAAGGAAAGTATGTTTCCTTCCTGGCCAGAAATAATTCTCAAAGTTATCTTTTGTCACCAACAGTTATTTTAAAGATGCAGAAAAACAGCAAGAAGATTTGAGTATAAGAACAACTCCTCAACCTTCTTTCTGAGATCTATTACGCTTAAGATCAATTTCAAATGACATTATCTACTTATATGATTTAGGATATGCATAGAAACTCACACTATACATCCACGTTGTGCACCCTGAGTAGATATAGTATCCTAAGTATCAATGTAAAATAGAGTTTGCATATAGAATGGCATAGTAAGTACCCAGAAAAGCAAAAATGATGTGT